CTCTAAACCTTTAACCCCGAACCCTAAACCCTAAACCCCTAAATCATAAACCTTAAACCCTAAAACCCTAAAACCCTGAAGCCCTAAAACCCTGAAGCCCTAAACCCTATATCCTACATGTTCCCTTATATGATGGATTTCCGTATTCCCTACCCACCACCTGTAAGTTCGAGTTGTAGACCTCACCCCGAGGGCTGGTTACAGGTACCAGTGTTTAGGGTTTAGGGTTTAGGCTTTGAGTTTATAGGGTTCATAGGGTTTATAGGGTTTAAGGTTTAGGGCTTATAGGGTTTAGGGTTTAGGCTTGTTTTTGCTTTTTGGGGCCTTCTCTCCACTGTCCAGGCAGCAAGAACGCTTTACAGCGAGGCCCAAAACCCACCAGCTTAGACTTCAGGGTTTAGGGTTTAGGTTCAAGGGTTCAGGGCTTACGCTTAAGGATTTAGGCTTAAGGATTTAGGGTTCAGATTTAGGCTTAAGGATTTGGGGTTCAGGGTTTAGGCAGTTTAGGCCTAAGGGTATAGGCTTAAGGATTTAGGGTTTAGGCTTAAGGGTTCAAGGTTTAGGCTTAAACGTTTAGGTTTAATTAGGTTAACTGTAAGATGTTTGGCCAAAGACTATACGTCGTGGGAGCCTCCTCCCCTGCTACCTCCTCCCTAAAGTAAGACCGCACCAAACCCAAGGGGAATTAGATCTGACGTGGGGTTTCATTTTGGGGAGCATAGGCTGTGGAGCACATGATCTCTAAACCCTAAACTCGAGACTCTAAGCCCTAAAACCTACACCCTAAACCCTAAATCCTAAACCCCCAGCTCTAAACCCTACATCCTAAACCCCTAAAGCGACAGAATCATCCCCAACGTGGATCTGACGAAGGGAGATCTCGAGGCAGTACAGACACCAGGCTACATGGAGGTTCAGGGTGTGGTTTAGGGTTTAGGGCTTAGGATTTAGGGTTAGAACTTGTACTTAGAACTACAAGCACATGTATGAGTGGGCTACGATTACTCTGGACCTCCAGGTAAGCCCCGAAGAAGCCCCAAGCCGAATCATGTCCCAAAATGCAACTCTTGAACTTCTGACCTTGAACTTTTTTGAGCCGAAAGGATAACAATAAGATCATGGGGCAGACAATACAAATTGTGCAATCCTTGAAAAGGAAGAATAATATCATGACTGTTCAGGCGTCTACATGACATCCTGTAGAACCAACAGCATCAAGCCCTCCCCGAGGAAAATACCAGACCACAACCCCCCGCCACCGCCCCAAACAAACCTCAACCCCTTAACACTCGAGAAGCCTGCAAGGGAACACCTGAAATCCACAGAAAAAGGCCTACAGCCGGCAAACTTGAACCCTAAACCCCGAACTATAAACCCTAAGACCTAAGCCCAATACACTCTAAACCCTAACCCTGAACTGTAACAGTTCCCTTGAAACCTGCGCCGGCACGCCAGTGATCTCCGCAAGGTCTCTGATGTTGTAGAAGCGGCACCTGCGGGGGTATAGGGAGAGTATGAGGCTAGGTTTTGGGGCTCATGATTCAGGGTTTAGGGCTAGAATTCTTTGATGCTTGGGGCTGCTCAGGGTTAAGAGAGCTGAGGTTTAGGATCGAGAGCTTAGGCATGTTCAGGGTTTGCGGTTTGGAGCACAATCCGAAGTACAAGCAGTTACTGAACCCTATGTGTCTGCAAGTAAGGCTTTCCTGTCAAGGATGTAGGGCCAGTGTGCCCCTAAACCCAAAACCAAAACCCAAAACCGTGCAGGGCATCTTCGTGCTTTACGGGTCTAGGGGTTCGAGGTCTGAGGTTTGTAGGGATGTCGGTTGAGCTATTTCCGTGATTTGGGGGCTGGAGCCTTACGGGTTTGGGACGTAGAGCGGGGCCAAATGATGAATAGGATAGGAGCGCAGGATATTTTTTCAAAATAGCGATAGCTTTTCAAGCAATTATCTTGCTACATGTTCAGGTCAACATGTTATGATTGCCCTTTACATGAGCCATAGTCTAAAATCCTAGTATCCCCCTTCATAACCCCTATAGGAATAACCCCTATAGTAGTGCCCTATATAATCCCCTACATTACTCCCTTATAGCTCACATCAGTTATAGGGGTTCGGGAGGTTGGGGCTGGAGCTTCCAAGCTTCGAGGCTTTGAGGGTTCGAGGCTGGGCGCTGAGGGGCTTCGTCAACATGTCGGGATTCAGCGTCGGAAAAAATCCAAAGCATAATAAATTTAGGGTTTAGGGTTTAATTTTTAGGGCTTAGGGTGTAGGGTTTAGTCTTCCAAGCATAATACCCCTCGATCCCCCTCTGTGGCAATGACCGAGAACAAATGTTGTGGTTTGTGTGAGCAGGGCCTCCTTTACCGGAACCAGAGTAGACCCCGAAGCCTCAAAATCTAATCCCCAAAAATCCCAACATGACCTTGAAGCTTATAAGGGGCCTAAAGTCCTAAACCCAATCTCTTAACATTAAAGACTTAAAAACCTTCCCCCAAATCCTAAACCCTAAACCCTAAACCCTAAAACCTAACACCTAAAAACCATAACCTTGACCCTAAGCCCCAAACCCCAAATCCTATACCCTATTACTTGACCCACATTACCCTAGGAAGAAAAAAGGATCCTTTTTACATAAATATAAGGAACCCCATACCCCAAAAAGTATAAAGGATCCTTAACATTGATCCAGATTATACCTAAAAACCCTACCCCAAATCCTAAACCCTAAGCCCTAAACCCTAAACCCTAAACCCTAAGCCCCAAACCCCAAATCCTATACCCTATTATACCCTACACCTTCATCTCAAACCCTGAGGCTCAGCCTGTTGGTCATGTAGTCCAGGGGAAGGTTGTTGCTTCGAGCTGCGACCTGCACTCAACCCCAGACATCTGGGTTTAGGGTAGGCCCATAACCTGCAAGCAGGGGTGACCCTTAGAGTTTCGGGTTTAGGGTTTGGGATTTAGGGGTTTAGGGTTTGGGATTTAGGGTTTGGGCTTTAGGGTGTAGGGTTCAGGATTCAGGGTTTGCTTAGGATTGGGGGTTTGGCGTTCAGGGTAGTTTTTTTTTGCACACTATTTTCGCCTGCCCGGAAGTCAAACGAAGGCCATACCCCAGCAAATTCACTCCAGGGTAGGGTTTGGGCTTTAGGGTCTATAGAGCGTAGGGTCTGGGATTTTAAGGTTGAGGTTGGGAGTAGTGAATGAGGGCATGGATCCCAATAGTGATCCCAGAAAAGTCCTCAAAAATGGTGCTCCAAACCCGTTCCCTTATTCCCTACGGAGCACCATCCAGTTCTTGAGCTTCCATAAGATTTGTAATGAGGTTTGCCACACCGCTTTCAAATAATGACATCTCCCCACTACCTAGCCATAAATACACACCCGCCCTTTACATAGTGGCATTGTTTTTGAGATATTTGCTATTAGGTTGAGGAGGGGCAGGAGTATAAAATCACACTTTCTCCTGAAACATACCTCCCACATGTTCCATCTTGAAAACAACGACCATGGGCCCAAAGTACCATCAACTTTCAACGTGGGTTTGGCATATGTATACCTTCGCGAACCCATCAACTTAAAACCCGCCATCAGCACGATAAGTACCTTTCTATTTCACATGGCTCTTGGTAGAAGTATAGCTTGGGAAACACTAAGCTCAAGTGGAAAGCCTGCACAAACTACGTAAACAGCGGCGACTCACAAGTATAAGATTTGACTCCAAAGCCGCGCCCACAGCCTGCAATTTAGGGTTTAGGGTTTAGGGTTTAAGGTCTAGTTTTGGGAATACTCCAAACAAGAAGCTCTCTTAAGAACTTAACATCAGCTCGTCGCCCATTTCTCGCCTGCATGTTGGAAGTCAGGAAGGACATGGAGTTGAACAGGCCACTGATCCACACGGACTTCAGAAGCTTCCTGATTCACAGTTGGTGTGAGGATCTTGGGGGATGTTTTCAACAATACTTGCTTTCAAAGAAAAAGCAGTCTATCCAGGGCCCTTTTTGGGGTTCCATGTTAGTTTGGGGTAGCTCAGGATTGAAGCTTTTGGGTCTCGGTGCGAAAGATTCGGGTTGAGCGCGGACGGCCTGTTGATCTGTTAAACATAACTGAATTGGAACCTCCCTTCACGCCTTCCTGGGCTGCTTGTAAGGAACCAGAATTGAGTTACTATAAAAAACTCTTCAATCTACAGTTACTATTTACTATATACGCATACTATGGTAACTAAATTTAAGTCTCTCTACAGAATTACATTTTTCAAAATCTTCCCAAGCAAGTCAGAACCCGCACAGCACTCCTGCTAAGGCCCCCATTCGCGGACACAGCCCAGCAACATACACCCCAAACAAGTGAACAGCTTCGCTGTGGATATCATAAGAGTAATTAATAACTAGTCGAAATAATGATATTCAGACTAAAGGAACCACAAAGAATCACAGAACTACTCATAGCAACGTTATAGTCATAGGCATACTAATCGCAATATGCTGCAACTTGCAAACAGGGCACAGCTGCGCGGTCCAGTCGACAACCTGCTCGTGACGCTGCACCTCGGCTGCTAGACTTGAAAATCAATTTTCAGATTGGGTTTAGGGTTTAGGGTTTAGGGTTTAGGGTTCAGACTTTGTTTTACCTTATGCTGCAAATCTGTATGTGTTTGTACATATATATAAACAGACATATATATGTATAAACACCTTATATCTACCATATATAGGCGTATTTGGGTTACAAGGGGATGAAATTGCTATCATTCAGGGTTCTACGCTGCGCGCGCGCCGAGAGAAGTAGTCAAGAAAAAACTTTAAATGCGAACCCTCATGTGGACTCCACTTTCTGAACTTGTTCATATAAGATCCCAAATCAAACGTGGAAACTTAGATACAACCCCTCAATAGGACCATAATTTGCATTTGGACCAAGACTCGCAAACCCGAAGCTCTACTTACCTCTCAAACACTATAGACTCAGCCCTACCTTAACCCAAAAGTATGTAAACTAATAGCCCTAAACCCCCTAATAATAGCCATAAAGGCCATTATTTTGCATACTTTTGGGGTCCAGGTACAGCCCATAAGCCCTAAGTCCCAAACCCTAAATCCTAAACCCCATAACGCTAAACCCCAAACCCTAAACCCAAAATCCTAAACCCCTGTTATGTACCCAAGGCCGTGGCGAAGTCCTCAAACCATGCACTGAGTGCTTTCAGCGATGGGTATGCCTGGAAAAAGTGCATGTTTATGGTTTAGGGTTTCATGGGCCGTAACTCACTAAGTTACTGGTGCCTGAGGAGTAGCGGAGTAGATCCTATTATGCTCCCTAGACGATGATCCGGATAGATGTCTCCATACACTACTATACTGCCTATACTGTTACCATACTCCTCTCCTGTAACTTCCCTTTCAGCATGAGAGCTACAGTTTAAGGCTCCGCCATTCCCCCAACTCTAAACACTAAATCTGGTGTTGAAGATGCACAGTACAAGCTTTAGGCTGTAGCCTCCAATTTGGGTTTAGGGTTTAGGGTTTTCAAAGTCTCGGGACAAGAGCTTTGGCAGTTAAGGGGTTTAGGTTTGAACGTTCGGCGTTTGGGACTTAAGATCTCGAGGCTGGGAAGACACACATTAGCGCTTTTGTCACAGCAGAAAACCGGTGGAACTCGGAGTTTAGGACAGAAAGATGTCGAGCGCATAGGTGGAAGGAGGCGAAAACCAAGCCCTCTACACACGAAACCCTAAACGCTGAATCCTAAACTCTAGGCACTGAGCCCCAAACCCTAAACCCTGAACCCTGGACCCTGAACCCTGAAGACCTGAACACCGAAGCCATGTTTTTACGCAAAGTGCCAAGCGATTGAAATCAGGTCTCCCAAGCCCAAAGTGGCAGTTTAGGGTTTAGGGTTTGCAACCGTGCACCTTACACTCCGAGATCCCTCAAAGCACCAAAGATTACACTGCAGACAGGCCCTAACCCTAGAGTAGCTCCATCAAAGTTCTACAAAATCATTACCCCAACAATGGTGAATTAAATAAAAAGCGAATGGACAACTAAATGGATTACGTTGTTATATAGGGGCATACAAGGGCAATTACGAACGACGTGAATCAAATAAAAGCGAATGGACAACTAAATGGATTATGTTGTTATATAGGGGCATACAAGGGCAATTACGAACGACCCTCAAAGACCGCTGCCTTCTCGGCCCAGACAGCATTCACCTTGTTCGCCTGGAGGTCTGCGCTCAAGGCCTGCAAAAGGATGTACTGGTGCTTAGGGGGGTGGATAGAATCCCAAATGGCGCTACATAGCCTAAGAAAAATTCTGGAACTGTAGTGTATTCCGGGTCATGCAGGATTTGTTCATCAACAAGATTCCACTCAAATATCTGGGGATTACAAGGGGAATATTCTACGGACCCCCAAATGCACCAGCAAGAGGAGGATGGGCCGGATGTACAGTATCATGACGAGGACCGAAGGTCTAAGAGTTCGGTGGCTTGCCCCAAGGATTTTAAGGGTCCAGCGTTTGGGTGGAGAATTCTGGACTCAGAAGCCTAAACCCTTATCCCTAAACCTTTTTGCAGTTCAGGGTTTGGGGTTAAGGAGTGATGGCAAAGAGAAGGTGAACACTGCCTTGGGATGTTGGGGTGGAGGGGCCGAGTATCGAGGACTTCCTTGTAAGATGTGTATGCGAGCATCTTGACCTAGAGGGCTCTTAACCTGGTGGTTACAAAGGGATTTGGAAGAGTGTCTCTGAAATATCCTGAAAGTGGAAACTTGAGAAGCTCCCAAATAGATACGGCAAAGCTTCATATTTCAAACAAAAGGTTCTAGCATCATTTCTTATGAAGTCTTATACTGGAGAAATTTCATATAGCCCGAAATCAAAATGTAGGTCCCTACATCACCCAAATCTGTCTCGAGGCGTACACCCCCAAGCCCAGCCCTTGTCCTAAACTTCCTAATCACTATTCTGCGGGTATATGGGCTTTTGCAAAATTAGGGATTAGGGCTGAGGGTGTAGGGATTTGTGGTTATAGTTTAGTAGAGTTCAGGGTTTAGGGTCTCCCAAAATTAGGGGTACCTTTTTGGGGGTCCCTATAATCAGGATTATATACTAGGGTGTAATTGGGGGTCCCCTACCGTATTGGGGGATTGTATAAGGAGCAGCATAGGCAAAGCTCCTCGTACTCCCACAGGAACGAACAAGTCAGCTCCAAATCCTCAACCTTGAAAATCCTACTGAGGTTTGTTAGTGCAGTGCTGTGTGAGTAGGAGATTCAACAACAGTAGTCTTGTTTACGGGCTATGTCTAACCGTCTTGAATCCCCATGAGCACTAGCACGCACAGGCCTACAAGTAGAACCTTGTTCTTACCGGCGGTTAGTAGGGACTGAGGGAATATAATCCCTATATAACCCCTATACAAGATATTCCCGTATTCCTTACTAACCACCAGTAAGTGATCCCTCAGTCCTGGGCCCTAACCCTAAACTAGTCCCTGGCACTTCAACACGAAGAAGCAAAGGTTGTCTCGTGTCCTCCATCTTCTCGGTGACGTTGAGAGCGCCACTGATGCCTTTTTCCGGCTGGGGGGTGCTTTCCCAAAATTAGGAATACCGTTTCGGTGAGGGGGGGGGATCAGTATGAAAGTCTTCAGTATTTTGGGTTCTAGATTGGGGTCCCCCCATCTTGGGAAACTACCAAATCAAGAGCGCAGGATTCTCCTACTGATCATGGGTGATCATGTCACTGGCCTTCTGGTTCGAAGCTGCACTCAGCATTTTGCTAAGGTTCAAGGTGGTATAGCTCAGTTTGGGTCGGGGCACTTGCCTCTGGAACTCTGCATCAGCACAACTTCTGTATAGTGACCAGCATAAGAGTCTTCAGCGTTCTGACCTCACCACGAAGATGCCCAACCTTCTACAAACCCTTCCTGCACCCAACCCCAAGCGGCGAGGGCCACAATACATGTGCGAAAGGATATAGTGGGTTGCGGTTATGGAACTTGGATGAAATTACCATAATATGGTCCTTGTAGTACCTGGAGCTCTTTACCCTACCCCTTTTGGGGTACCTAAGTTTGTATACAGAAGATGCTTTACATATAGTTCAGAATATCCTGAAAAAAGGGGTAGTGTTCAGGGGTCTAGGTAGTAGATTATTCTAGGTTCCTTAACTAACAGCAATCCACATGTTCTTCACGTATGGAGCATTGGGTATACGGGGTTAGAGGTGTTGGAACCCTAAAACCCTAAACCCCCTAAACTCTCAAACCCTAAAACCCTGAAGCCCTAAACCCCTAAACCCTAAAGATCCTAAAGCCCTAAAACACTAAACCCTAAAACCCTAAACCCTAAAACCCTAAAGCCCTAAAGCCTTAAAGTCCAAGGCTTAGAGTTGAGGCAGGCCAGCTTTTCCGAGGCGCCCAATTCCAGCTCGAGCATGGAGCCACGGATCTGATCCAGCAAGCCGTTGACGCGGTCTGCCTTGCTCAGGTTTAGGGGTTATAGGGTTTAGGGTTCAGGGGTTCAGGGTTTCTAGGGTTTTGGGTTCAGGGTTTATAGGGTTTAGGGCTTAGGGTCTAGGGTTTGGGTTTAAGGTTTCGGGTTCAGGTAACTCCCCTTCGGGTTGAGGTTCGGTATTTAACACTCCCCCCCTCACCCCCTAAGATTGAATTGTCCCCCCCATATCTAAAGTGTCCTAGAGGGAGTATCTAAGGAAGGCATTACTTGCGCTTAGCTTTGGAAGTGGGAGTGAGTCTTTAGGACCGTTGCAGGGGGTCACTATGGCAGAAACACTGTTGGGGAGGGGCACGCGCCCCAAAACAAACACGGAGAGAAGGGAGTGACATTCCAAGCGGGTGAACTCCACGAAGGCCTCAATCGCTAATTCCAGGCACAAAAATTTACCACCACACAGCCCTGGCAACTCAGAAACAAGCAGATCGTGCAACATCTGCTACACTCAACTTGCATGCCCTAAACCCTACATCACCAGGAATAAAGTT